TATAGTTTGAAGTCAGATAATGTGATGCCTCTGTTTCTTTTTCCTTTTTGCTTAGGATTGCTTTGGCTATCTAAGCTCTTTTTTGATGCCATATGAATTTTAGCGTAACTTTTTTCCAATTCTGTAAAAAACGACGTTAGTAATTTGATAGGAATTGTGTTGTATCTATAGATTGCTTTGAGCAGTATGGCCAAGTTAATGATACGGATTCTTCCAATCCATGAACATGGTATGTTTTTCATCTGTTTGTGTCATCTGTGATTCCTCTGGCAGTGTCTCGTAGTTCTACCTGTAGGGATCTTTCACCTCCTTGGTTACATGTAACCCTAGGTATTTCATTTTTGTGTGTATAGCTATTGTATATGGGACTGCATTCTTGATTTGGGTCTCAGTTTGAACATTGTTGGTGTATAGAAATGCTGCCATTTTTTGTACATGATTTGGTATCCTTCAGTCTTGCTCAAATCATTTATCAGTTCTAATAGCCTTTTGGCAGAGTCCTTTGGGTTTTCTAAGTGTAGAATTACATCACCAGCAAAGACACATAGCCTGACTTCTTTCTCTATTTAGAAGACTTGTTTTTTCCTCTTGCCTCATTGCTCTGGCTAGCACTTCCATTACTGTGCTGAATAGGAGTGATGAGAGTGGGCATCCTTGTCTTATTCTAATTCTCAAGAGAAATAATTTCAGTTTTTGCCTGTTGAGTATGATGTTGGCTGGGAGTTTGTCATGGATGACTCTTATTATTTTAAGGTATCTTCCTTCAGTGCCTAGTTTCTTGAGGGTTTTTCAAAACCCTGAAAGGCTGTTGGATTTTATCAAAAGCTTTTTCCATGTCTATTGAGATGATCTAATGATTTTTGTTTTTAATTCTGTCTGTGGTGTTATGTCTTGATTTGCTTATGTTAACCTTGCATCCCAGAAATGAAGCCTGCTTGCTCATGATTAACTAACTCTTTTTTGATGTGCTGTTGAATTTGGTTTCCTAGGTTTTTTGTTTTTCGTTTGTTTGTTTTGAGACAGGGTTTCACTCTGTTACCCAGGCTGGAGTGCACTAATGCAGTTATGGTTCACTGCAGCCTTGAAGTCCTGGGCTCAAATGATCCTCCCATCTCAGCCTCCTGAGTAGTTGGGACTACAGGCACAACATGCAACCAGGCCTGGCTAATTTTTGTTTTGTCTTTTTTATAAATATGGGGTTTCACCAAGTTGGCCAGGCTGGTCTTGAACTCGTGAGCTCATGCAATCCACCTGCCTTGGCTTCCCAGAGTTCTGGGATTACAGGTATTAGCCACTGTGCCCAGCCAGTTTGCCAGTAGTATTTTATGGAGGATTTTTGCATTTGTTTTCATTAAGGATATTGGCCCATAGTGTTCTTTCTTCATTGTGTCTTGGCCAGCTCTTTGTATCAAGGTGATGCTGACTTCATAGAATGAACTAGTGATATGGTTTGCCTGTATCCCCACGTGTCAAGGGTGGGCCAGGTGGAGATAATTGAATCATGGGGACAGTTTCCCCCAAACTGTTCTCATGGCAGCGAATACGTCTCATGAGATCTGATGGTTTTATAAACGGGAGTTCCCCTGCATAAGCCCTCTTGCCTCCCACCCTGTAAGACGTGCTTTTGCTTCTCCTTTGCCTCCTGCCATGATTGTGAGGCATCCCAGCCATGCGGAACTGTGAGTCCATTAAGTATCTTTTTCTATATGTATCACCCAGTCTCAGGTATATCATTTTTTAGCGGCATGAGAACTGACTAATACAGCTAGGGAAGAGTCTCTTCTCCTCAATTTTTTGGAATAGTTTCAATAGAATAGGTACCAGCTCTTCTTCATATTTGTGGTAGAATTCAGCTGTGAATCCGTCTAGTGTTTTGTTGGTGGATAGTTTTTTAAATTCTGATGCAATTTCAGAAGTTGATATTGTTCTATTTCAATTTCTTCCTGATTCAATCTTAAGAGACTGTTTTTCTCTAGGAATTTTTCCATTTCTCCTGGATTTTCTACTTTGTGTGCATAGATGTGGTCACAACAGTCTCTGAGGATACTTTGTAGCTGTTGGATTCGTCACAATGTCACCATTGTTGTTGTGCTGGTTTGCACCTTCTCTTTGGTTTTCTTTGTCAATCTAGCTAGTGGTCTATCGATCTTGTTTATCCTTTCAAAAATCCAACTTTTGCTTTCATTGATCCTTTGTATGAATTTTGGGGTCTCAGTTTCATTCAGTTCTGCTCTGATTTTAGTTATTTCTTTTTTTTTCTGCTAGCTTTGGAGTTAGTTAGGTCATGTTCTTCTAGTTCCTTTAGGTGTGATACTAGATTGTTAACTTGAGATCTTTCTGACTTTTTGAAGTAGGCATATAGTATTATAAGCTTCCTCTTAACACTGCTTTTGCTGCACCCAAAGATTGTGGTATGTTGTGTCTCTGTTTTCATCTATTTCAAATAATTTTTTGATTTCTTCCTTGATTTTGTTGTTTGCCGAAGAGTCATTCAGGAGCAAGTTGTATAATTTCCATGTAATGGTGTGGTTTTGATATATCTTCTTGGTATTTATTTCTATTTTTATTTCACTGTGGTCTGAGAGTATGGTGGGTATCATTTTGATTTTTTTTTAAATTTATTGAGACTTGCTTATGGGCAAGCATGTGGTTGATTTTGAAACACATTTCGTGTGCAGATGAGAAGAATGTATATTCTGTCATTGATCAGTGGAGGTTCTGTAGATGTCTATTAGGGCCAACTGGTCAAGTATCAAGTTTAAATCCAGAATTTGTTGGGTTTCTGCCTCAGAGATCTGTCTAATCCTGCTGGTGTGTTGTGTGTTGTTGAAGTTCTGAACTGTTACTGTGTGGCTGTATGAGTCTTTCCGTCGGTCTAGATTCTGGGTGCTCCAATGTTGGGTGTGTATATATTTAGTAAAGTCTTCTTGCTGAGTTGAATTCTTTATCATTGTGTAGTGCCCTTGTCTTTTTCGTTGTTGTTGGTTTAAACTGTTTTATCTAAGAATAGTGATCATCACTTTTTCTAGTTTTCCATTTGTGTGTAGTAGATGTTTCTCCAACCCTTTACTTTGCACCTATGGGTGTCATTATGTGTGAAATGGTTCTCTTAAAGTCAGCAGTCAGATGGGTCTTGTTTTTTTATATCCAAGTTGCCGGTTTGTGCCTTTTAGGTGGGGTGTTTGGGGCATTTACATTCAAGGTTAATAGTGATTGACCCTTCTGTGAAGCTGGTATCTGGCTGCTTTGTGGTTTCTATTGTGTGATTGCTTTATTGAGTCTGATGGCTATGTACTTAAGTCTATTTTTGTGGTAGCAGGCATTGCTCTACTGTTTCCATGTTTAGAACTCTCTTAAGGATCTCTTGTAAGCTTTTCTAGTGGTAAAAAAAAATTCCCTTAGTACTTGCTTGTCTGGAAAAGATTGTATTTCTCTTTGTTTATGAAGCTTAGTTTGGTGGGATATGAAATTCTTGGTTGAAATTTCTCTTCTTTCAGAATACTGACTCCAGGTCCACAATCTCTTTTGTCTTATAAGGTTTGTTCTGAAACATCAATTGTTGGCCTGATGGTGTTCCTTCAGCATGTCATCTGTCCTTTTTCTCTAAGTGTCTTCAAGATGTTTTCTTTAGCACTCACCCTGGACAGCCTGGTGACTGCATTCCTCGGTGATGCTCATTTGGTACAGTAACTCACAGGTGTTCTCTGGATTTTTGTGTCTGGATGTCTACCTCTCCAGCAAGATTAGGGACATTTTCTTGCATCTTCTCCAAACATATTTTCGAGGTTATTTTTTTCTCCTTCTCTCACAGGAATGCCGATAATTCATAAGTTTGGTTGCTTTACACGATCATTTATTTTTTGAAGAGCTTATTCATTTTTAAAAATTATTTTTCCTTAATTTTTGTCTGATTGTGTTAGTTCAAAAGACTAGTCTTTAAGCTCTGAATCGTTTTCTTCTGCTTGGTCCAGTGTACCGAATACAGTTTCTCATGCTGCATTTGCCATTCTGGGGAACTGTGCTCAGTGGCAACAGTAAAGGAAACCTCACTGGCTGCCTCATGTAGATTTTGTCTTAATTTTGGTCTCTACCTTCCCCTCCTGATTCAGAAAATGAGTCTTGGGGAGCTGGCACATTGTAAGGGATCAAGATCCACGAGCAATTGCCTATATATCCAATAGCGATTATGGGCAACACCCCACATAACCTGCAATTGCCAGCTGATGCAATGGCACAGAGCGACGGTCCCTCAAGTGAACAAAGACACTCAGAAAATAGATTTAGGGAACATAAAGGGCCTTTACAAGCTGGAGAAGGCAAGGAACAGCCCCTCCCCCAGAGCCTCCAGAAAGAATGCAGCTCTGCCTATACGGCGACTCTCACCCCGAAAGATCCACTTCAGACTTTGACTTTCAGAATGGAAAGATAATAAATCTGTGTTGTTTTAAGCCTTTAAATCTGTGATTATTTGTTATAGCAGCAGCAGGAAATGAATACACAGGACTTCTGATATAAAGCGTCCCAGAACCCCTCATACTGCAGATAAGGAAATAGAGGCCCAGGGAATTTGCCAACTGTCATGAAGTCACATGGCCAGTTAATAGCTGATGAAACATTGAGAAATTCTTCTATGCTAAACACAGTTCTTCGTTCTTAGCATGTATTTGCCCATGAAGTCATCAGTGTAACCCTAAGGCAGCAGCCCTCATTCTTATCCCCGTTTTACAGATTAGGAGGCTGAGGCATAGGATGTCAATGTCATCAAGATACTAAATAGGCTGCTAAGAGCTTGCACCCAGGCATTTCTGCTCTGTACTACCACACATAGTGACACATAGAAGAGGAGCCTGAGCTCTTGGGTGCCAGTCCAACACCCCACCAAGTCCTAAAGGGTTACTTGATTTCATGCCATCCTGACAACTCTGAAACCTGTAAGATCATTTCCATTTTAACTGAAGCAAACAAGACACCGAGCGAAGAGACGTGCCTAAAGCACTTACCTGGTCAGTCGCAATTACAAGCCTCTTAACTCCCATCTCTCTGCAGTTTCCCCAGTTCCTCTGCTTGTGACACCATGAGAGATGCAGAAGACAGATGACAGAGTTTCTGCCGTCAGCAAGTTTATGGGTTATCTTGGGCTAAATTTGGTAACTTGGGTGTCGCTTTTATCAGTGTCATCTTCAGGGTAAGACTACTCCTTAGGCCTTGAACAATAACTTTGTGTTCTCTGGAGCAATCTGACATTGCACAGAGGAAAAGCCTGAAACAAAATAAGTACTCAATGTACTGAGCCTTCCCTGCCAGGGGCAGCTGTAGAATGTCTACGTGAGAGGCTTCAGCACAGCCGCATGTCTGGAAGAGGCTGGAGCACCTAAGGATTATATTATAGCCAACATAATGTATTTAGTTAGGGTGCTTTTTACGGGGGAAGTTTGAGGAGGAGCTAATGAAAATTTGGGGGGCTGACTGAAACTGCCCCAAACCACCCCTTGATGTACCAGTTCCCATGTAAACCCCTGTATGTTGCAGCTCAGAAAGAGGAATACACAGTTCTCACCACCAAGAAGCTTACTATTCAAATGCAAGAAAAATGTTTTCTTTTCTCTTTTTTCTTTAGACACGGTCTTGCTCTGTTGGCCGGGCTGGAGAGCACTAGTGTAATCATAGCTCACTGCTACCTTCAACTCTGGCCTCAGGAATTCCTCCTGCCTCAGCCACCTGAGTAGCTGGGACTACAGACACACATCATGACCAACTAATTTAAATTTTTTGGTAGAGATATGGCCTCAAGTTATCCTCCTACCTCAGCCTCCCAAAGCGCTGGCATTACAGGTGTGAGCTACCTCATCCAGCCTGGATATATGCTTTGAAAGAAACCAGAGAACACACAAAAGGCCTAACAAATTCAGGCAGTGCAGACATGGGCCAGCCGCAGGTGACAGGTGACAGGACTGCCCTATGTCTGTGGCTCCAGAAAAGCCTCATGGAAAAGTGAGGTTTTGAAGTGTGAATGGGTAGGCGAGGGGCAAGTGCGATCATAGGTGGAGAAAAAGAATGGGTGAGAAAATTCAAATAGACATATTTGAAGACAGTGCATTGGGCAGATTAACTGGCGAAAAGGAAGGTATGTTCAGGAAATCACTTGTGTTAGTTATCACTGATTCATTCTTTGATTCAACAAATATTTATTGCTCTACTACCAAGTGCCAGGCACTAATCTGGGTACCAGGGGCCCAGCAGTAAATAAATAATGCACCCTAAAAGGTAAGGGGTGCCGCCGTGATTCAGCTCTGGCAGGAAAGCTCTGCTCTTCATTTCTGCCTGCAGAGAGGGATTCCCATTTCAGGCCATGCCTCCGAGCAGTCAGACGCACCTGCCTCCCCTGGCCATCGCCCGGCTCCTCTGACGTGAGGGCAGACACAGGAGCCCGGTGATCGCCTCTGCTCGAATAAATTACCGCCCCATCATCTTCATGCATAAAACATGGCACAGGAGGCCAGGGCAGCCCAGCACAGCAGCTGCCTTCGGGCCAGTCGGGAGTTAAGGGAAGGAAAGGAAAGGCAAGTTACAAGATAAAAGAAGTCAACGGAAACCTCGAATACTTAAAAAAAAAAAAAAAAAAAAAGAGGTTTCTGTTTTCTTTTTCATTTTTATACGTCTGGACTTAACTTCCGGGATCGCTGCAAGACCCTTTTGCTGCTTTGCCATGAGCAGGTTTTAGGCCGCTCTCTCGGGACCATGGTGCTCCCTTCGCGATTACACTGGATCAGAAACAGGCCATGGAGGGACAGGATCCGGAGGCGGCAGCTCAACCGTGAGTGCCCGGCGGGCGTTGCCCACTCTCTGCCTTTGTTTTCCACACTTGCCCGCAACGCACCCCTGCCTCGCGTCCTGGAAATCTCCCGGTCTCTCCCTGTTCCTCCTGTCTGCCACCTTCCTGTGCTCCCCACTCCCTCTTCCTATTTCTCTCCCAGCCCTATCCTAATTACACATAACTAGATCCATTTTGTCTCAAGTGGTGAGCACGACAGGGCCACAGGGCCTCTTCTCCATCTAGATGGAAAATACAAATAAATATTTCTGTGGGTTGAGGAGTCATGTGGATTGGAATTTTTGTTTATTACAGTGGGGGAAAAATGGAACATCTGAATCAAACAGGTTATGAGCCGTGTAGCTGGATAAGGTGAAAGTCAAGGACCAGTGAGTCATATTTCCTTTAAAGGACCCAGTTGTATGCTCCTTAAATTATCAGACTCACAGCTGAGTAGACAGGAACTCGAACTGAAAGGGAGTTTTTAGCATTGGAGTAATCTGAGAATGAACAAGAGTCCAAATGTATGCCAAGACCTTTTCCCGTGAATAAGGAACAAACTCGTGTGTGTCTGTTGCTGGAGATGTTTATGTATCTCAGATGGTGCAAATTCAAATGGCTGTAGGGGCTGGACTGCCAGAGAAACGAGTGAAAGCGGTCTGTTTTCACAGGGATAAGGAATGGTTCACTTCCTTCCTGTGTCTGTTGTGAGAAAAATGATAGTGAAACCATGATGATGAATTACAGCTGACATTTGGCCTCGGTATGAGGAAGCCACAGGGAGTGGTAGAGAGTGCAGCAAGTGGGAAAATGTGTCCCGCCACAGTGCGGCACCCACCATTCAACACCATCAGAAGGTTTCCATGAGGAATGGGGTGATACATTTTCCGACTTTTCAAAAAAAAGCAAGAAATACGAATTTCTATGTGAAAGCTCTCAAATTTAAATGTTGACAATTTATTCTTTGAATTTTAAATATACAATACCAGTGTTCTGAGGCAAAATGTGACAAGCCCTGGTTTATGTACTAGGTGCGGTTCTCATTAGAAGTCCATCAACATAGGCCAGGTGCAGCGGCTCACGCCTGTAATCCCAGCACTTTGGGAGGCGGAGGTCAGCAGATCACCTGTGGTCAGGAGTTCAAGAACAGCCTGGCCAATATGGTAAAACCCGGTCTCTACTAAAAATACAAAAATTAGCCGGATGTGGTGGCGGGCACCTGTAATCCCAGCTACCTGAGAGGCTGAGGCTGGAGAATCACTTGAACCCAGGAGGCAGAAGTTGCAGTGAGCGGACATCACACCACTGCACTCCAGCCTGGGCAACAAGAGCGAAACTCCAACTCAAAAAAAAAAAAAATAGAAGCCCATCACACAGTGTTCTTTACGCCTAATTATAGGTTGGCAACTTCTCCTTATGTGTTAAAAGCTTCTGGTATAGATGGTTAAATTAAGATGAATGAGTGGTTTAGGAACACGTGTCCGACATGGTCATGGTCTACTAGTTTAGGAGGCAAGCTGGGCTGGTTGGATTCCAAATGACAATTCAAAGACAAGGAAATAATCTGCACTAAGCAGAATACTTCTTTTTCTTTGAAATAACTGACAAAGCCATCAGTAATTTTCTCAGGGCCTTTCCCTTCTTGATCATGTTTCTTTTACTTGTGCCTACCTTAAATTTAAACTCCAGTTTTTGTAAAACCTCGTTTTATATCTATAGAAAAATACTTGCAATCCTACTGTTTTTATACAATACCTCCGTGGTGGAATGCGTCACTGAGAAAAGCTGGATTACAGACCTGCATGGTTTCACTAGTACGGATGAGAAGTCGGCCTATACTGTTAAAACAGGAACTATACGCCAACAGCCCGCTTTACCACAGAGATTGACTGCAGTGTTCAGACTAACATCTGAATACTGCGCTGATTTCTGCACAGGGTTTGCATGAAATGGTATCTTAATCGATGTTGACTGTAAGCTCAACATGAAGAGGCTGGTACTGACCTCTTTGGCATAGTGTCTAAGGAAGGAATCCTGACATTCTTCCAGGCTGGTCAAGAGCCCTGCTGCATGAGAGTCAGTGTGACTTAGAAATAGGAGCAGGACCGAGTGACATCTTTGGAGGGTTGCTTTTTCCAACTCACAAAAGATCTGTGCGTGTTTACAGGCAGTAAATTAGAGAAAGTGGAAAGGAAGAAAGAGTGAAGACACCCGCAAGGGAAGGAAGCTTCTTACTGCAAACAACAGCCTGCAAGGCTGGCTCGCAACAATATTTTGCAACTGTGAAAATCTGCTTTGATACCATTTCCTGTCTTCTTTCTCTGAAGCTTTTCTTTTCTTTTTTTTTTTTTTTTAAATTGAGACGGCGTTTCGCTCGTTACCCAGGCTGGAGTGCAATGGTGCAATCTCGGCTCACCGCAACCTCTGCCTCCTGGGTTCAAGCAATTCTCCTGCCTCAGCCTCCCAAGTAGCTGGGATTACAGGCACACACCACCATGCCCAGCTAATCTTTTGTATTTTTAGTAGAGATGGGGTTTCACCATGGTAACCAGGATGGTCTCGATCTCTTGACCTCGTGATCCACCCGCCTCGGCCTCCCAAAGTGCTGGGATTACAGGCGTGAGCCACCGCGCCCGGCCTCTCTGAAGCTTTTCTCATAGGTCAGCATTCCCTCCAGCTTGAGGACTCAGTTTTACAATCCTTTGGGGTTATTCCATCATTAAGAAAAATAAGTTCGTAAACCCCTTTCCTTTAAATACGCAGAGGGACCTTGAATGGCAATAGGAGGGACACATGCTACCACTCTCCATTTCCATGCCCATGCAGACATGGCTAATCAACCACAGCTCTCTTTTTCTCCCAAGGAGACCAGCCTCTGGCTTGCAGTCCTTTCCAATCAAGTTTATGGTCTTAAAACAACATATATTTTTTTGACTTTATAACTCCCATGGGCATGAATTAGCTGGATTCTTTACTCAGGGTCGCCCAAGGCTGCCATCAAGGTATCCTCTGAGACTGCAATCTTATCTGAGGCTCAGGGTCTTTTTCCAAGCTCAATGGTTGTGGACAGAATTTAGTTCCTTGCAGTTGTAGGCCCAAGGCCTTCAGCAACTAAAGGCCACCCACTGTTCCCTGCCGCATGACCCTCTCCACAACATGGCAGTTTGCTTCCTCAAGGCCAGCAAGGATCTTTCGCTGCTTATAGACTCCTCTTTAAAGGGCTCACCTGATTGGGTCAGCCCATCCAGGATAATCTCTTTTCTGATGAGTTAAAAATGAACTGATCAAGGACTTTAATTACATTTGCAAAATTTCTCAGCTTTGCCATATAACATAATTTAATCACGGAAGTAAAATCTCATCATATTTATACCCAAGGGGAGAAAATCACACAGGGCCTGTGTGCTGGGGACAAGAATCGTGGGTCTGTCTTCAAA